CACCAAAAGCCATCGGTGCATTCCGTCAGAGGTCAGGAGTCGCAGACCTAGAGAAGGCGAGCAAAGGCTCTCCTAGTAACGAGTTCGGGCGAAATAGCCAGCTCCAGAACACCTTTGAATGCTCGCATGTCCCTGTGAGAGTACCACGTTTCTCATTGTAAGGTGAGTGGATGTAGAGAGGTTACGAGCGCTTTGTTAATCTTAATACCACCTCGTGCCTGCAATCAAGTCCTGCTGCGCGTTTCAGTTGAATGAATTGAGGATCATTATCTCGGATTAAAACAGATATACATAGTGATGATCTTTTATCCTATGTACCTCCCCTACAATCTCGCTCCGCTGAACAGGGGCTGGAAGAACGATCTCATATGCTCTTCAAATTATGTATCGGATCTAGATTTGCATAAATCGCGTGCAATTGGGTCGTTATACGTGCCCGTGAAGAAAATGTAACTTGTGTTTGAAGGACACAGACTCAAGAAGGTAGGATATCTAATAAAACTAGGTCACGACATTGGGAATCACAGACGAGTGACCCCGTGCCAACCTGTTTGAATCATCTAGCGGGTGCCAAAGGCCAGGTCAGCCGTCCGCTACCAACGGAGTCCCATTGGGAAGACGGTAGCAGTTTGGCGAGGTAGTTCATTATGGTAAAGTGACCCCGTGTTTATTCAGTGAATAGACCGACGATTATGGTCCCGACTTGGAAAGGAGATCCCCTTTCGCAATGCTTGGGAATGCCCCTTACAAAAGGAGACTTCCATATTTCCCGCCACAGAGGGTGAAGTCGTCACTCAATCTTTGAAAGGGGGGAATTTTCGATATTTGTACCAAGCGAAAGCCATTCCAACCAACAGCGCAGAGCCTATTGTTGCTCCAATCACTCCAGCTGCTTGACTTGATAGATGGACACGTTTATTATTATTGGATGAAGGAACACCACCGACATCTACAGGGGTATTTCTATATCTTAGTGAGCATAGATTCAAGCTTTGGTATAGAGGTTACTTACGGCGCTAATGGATGAGAATTCTGAGAACCATATTCTTCATTCGGTGCGGAATTGGAGTCGGCACCCCCTATCTGCTGGGCTGTTTCTGATGGGGAAGAGGTTTCCCCATCACCATCACGGCTGACCCCACTACCAGCGGTCTGGGTACTAGAGCCAGAGTTAGATTGCGAATTGGAGCCCGTTTGAGTTTGTTGCGCAGGGTTTTCTGGAGTACCACCAGGTTGCGGCGAAGTAGATGTCGGATTGGGAGAGCCACGAGTCGTCGGAGGGGGTGCCCCTTCGATGGTCTCTACAGGTTCGACAGACGGAGAACCAATGAATGCGATCGAGTTCTTGGTC